ATTGTGGGTACTCTTCTCTTTGAAGAGTTGGAGGTTTGGTGAGGGAACCAACACTGTAGGCGGAGTTCCAGTTGGCCATTAAGATTTTTAAATGAAAGAAAGTTTACGTTTTAGAGAAGATATTTTTGTGAAAAACGTGAATTGAGAGATTTTTTATGATCGTTTGATTGGAAAAACAATCAATTGGCTCTGATACCAATTGTTGATCCCAGATATCTCAATAACACTAATAATCAAGTTAAGAATAACCAAATTATAGTGTTTAGATGAATAAAATGATGAACACTTAAGAACAATGTATGAACATTCAAAGAATAATCTTAAGTGCCAAAGATTTCACTTTATTCAATAATTATGAAAAAACGTAAAGCGTCAAAAATTACAATAGGTCTAACCACCTATTTATACTAGTAAGCTAATAAGAAGATAACTGTCTAGTGAGACTATTTAGCTAATCTTTAACTAACAGATAAAGCTTATCTATAATACGGATAAACATTAAAACAAGATAAACTTTGTAGAATCTAGCTGTTGAATGGTTATCTCCAGCTGTCTTCCATGGGATATGAGTTCAACCTTATCTTCATATCTTCATTGCTTGCCTCTGGTTGAACTGGTGAAGGAAACTCCAACTGTTAGTATCCAGAGGGGTTATTTAGATGCACTTTCCATCGCATCTCTGGTCAGTTCATCGACCCTTTGGATGGTCATCAGACTTAGGCATTTTTCCATGAACTCTTCCATCGGCCTTCTGGTTCTTCATCACATGTTTGTCTTCATTACTTCATACATAATACTTAAGGGGTCTAACAACTTTTGAGCAATAGGTTTCTTCAAGAATACTCTCATCGCCTTTAACACCTTTTTCTCTCTAAAAGGTTTCTTTTTTTTTTTCAAAACAAGATGATAAGATATGATCTTATCTCTTTTCTCTCCGTGTATATATTTTGACAAAGGCGGTGGAGTCTTTTTACTAATATAAAATTCATAGGCGGTGGGTTTAATATTTTAAATACCACCTTTCTTTACTATGAAGATATCACATCCTCATATTTTTAAATAATATAATCCACGTATACTTTACTTCATGTATGCACACACCTAATTCAGATATGCACAACAACATATTTTCACATATATGCATACTACTTATGCATTTTAATTAAGTAATCATGCATGTTGTTACGTAATTCAAATAATAATCACGTATAGGTTACCTCAACTCAGGTTGTTTTAGACCCAGTTATAACATCTTTAGATACGAATAATCAAAACCTACTCTAAATCTTATCTCTAGATACACTTTTAAATGATCAATTTCTTCTCTAAAGGGCATGTTAGTATTATTTTTTATCCATATTTAAGATCTATATTTGTATATAATTATATATTATATTAATCAACAAAAACAACATAAAAATCTCAAAGCAATAAATTGATATAAATTTATAATATAAAAAAATAAGTTCTCAAAACAATCCCCAACATTCAATCAATCCATAAATCCATTTTCTAACATCCGCCCTATACTTCTCGCAAAACTTCATACTCTACCGAGCACCTTCCATCTCTTTTCTAACTTTTGTTACTTTGCATAGATGATGAAGCCTCGTCTGATTGCACGGTGTCTGCAAAAGTGTTAGCTATAATGCAATAATTTCATGTGAACCGCTAACTGTGGCAATTTCCCTCTTTATCTATAACAAGTCAATAAGCCATCAGAATATCTCATTAGCAAAATGAATATTTAAAACCTACATATAATTTCAAGTTTAACATTTTCCTATTTACGCATCATAAAGCAGAAGAATATATTAAACCTGCAGTTATCCTTTTTATACAAAGTCGGCAGACTCCTCAAACAGAATATATGAGCAACAACGCCATAATAATCACACTTGCTTAAAACCTGAAAGAAAACAGTGGTAGAACATTAGTCAAAGTATTAGTCTGTTTCAAACCAAAATCGAACCTAATAAATAGATCGTTACAAGTAAAAAGTGTAATGATTTCAACAATCACAGTCCAAGAATACTCAAAACGCATTGGCCAGGACTTACAATTTATGAGTGCTCAAGCCATTGTCTAGGAACAAAGGAGTAAATAAATAAGTAAAACGTCAAATAATAACAGTTAGGAATTAGGATAATAACATGCATGCAAATGAATCAGAAACTTATCAAATTTAGCTCGTTCTTCAAATTTATCAAATTAAAGAGACCAGAATGCCCCTAAAATACTTGCAATTTAGAATGCTTATCACATAGTGTAGACTAACGCAAATCCAAAAACTTTAAGAAACTTTAAGAATTATAAGATAAAAAGATTTAAAGAATAATACTTTAGAAAACTCCAACCTCCCCTCCCCCCCCTTTTCTAACCATGATAAGATTTTCAAGAATTTGACCGTTTTACTATTTGAAACACCTGAGGGATTTTGAATATTTCTTTGGTCAAAAGTCAATTGTGATGGTTATAGTATGTAAGATAGTATGGTTATAGTATGTAAAAATTTGACCGTTTTACTACTTTGATGGATGATCAACAATCCAATTGTGATGGTTATAGTATGTAAGATAGTGTGTGCATCTGCAGCTGTGTGATCGTGATTAGTATGGGAGAACGTAAAACCTTTAATAACCCGCATGTTCTCAGAAAAGTAGTGTTCTGCTCTTCTAGCTAGATCTGCTTCTAATTTGGACTGCAGAACGTAAATGTTTAAAGAAAGAATAACATATTAGCATGTATTAAGTCAATGGATCACTTTGTACACAGGAAAAGAAAATATATAAAAACAAAGTGTTAAGGAAAAGAAATATATACAAACCTTGTGAGCCATACAGTCTTGTTGTTCAACTGTAACAAAAGTTTAAAGAAATTAGTATGTAAGTGTAAAGAAAATAAATCAAATGCCACAATTCTAACCGTTAGATAAAATAGGCTCAACTTCTTAGTGCATTTCTACCCTATGGTGTATTTTTTAACGAGCAGGTCCTATGATTGCATTAGGGGACCTAAATCGTTAAAAAAGCAACCACAACCAAACTCATTAATTTTCTTAAATAGGGTCGGGATCCGTTAAAAACACCAAACCTCAAGAAGAAAAAATGCAATTCACTCTAATTGTAATGAAAAAAGAACAAAGGTTAAATGTTTAAGTAATTAAACCTATTCCAATAAATGAACTTTATGGAATTTAGGACTCACAACATAGACAAATCAAAAGGCATACTCTGCACCCATATCCTTGCAACATTGGCCAATTATGATCTATCCCAATGGTTGTTGCATGCTTAGTAGGGAATGGCCAAATGAATACTCTCAGTTAAGTTGAAAACATAACACTAGAATTGTTATCCTGATTCTTCTTTGAAAATTCACCGAACAGTGGTATGCAAACATTCTTATTATTGTTATCCCGATTCTTCTTTTCCAACTACGAAATTCATGCATCTAAAAACAGAAAATCAGGTATGACCAATAACAAAGATGCATTTTGGTTATACAAGAAAAGCCTCTAAATATATATATATATATATATATATATATTAATAAAAAAAATTTAATAAAAAAATATTATTTTTTAATGCCGGGACCTTTTGGGACAAACTGTAAGGAATGCATAAAAAATAGTTTAAAGTATGTGATTCAGGGTCAAAATGTCTCTGGTCCAAGCATACTTCATTAGCTGAATCTAACTCTTCAAACATGAGTTAATTAAGATATTCATGAACTTGCCTTGTAATGAGGTATGATGCAACATCAAGCCCCAGCTTCAGATCAGGATCAAAAGAAAACCTACAATCATCAAGAGCAATGGAACTTGGAATGAGCAGGCAGTTTGGAGCAAGGACATGGTCAACCCAACTATAATCACAGAAGTGCTAGGTTAATTGAGAAAAGGGTAGGAGAGAGGGTTGTTGGCATATTTATGCTAAATTTTAAATTGTTCTTTTTCTTTCACAAAATATTGCCTTTTCATTGATTTTATCATTTATTATTTTGGTACTGTTTGTTTAAATAATATACATCTTTCTTTCTCACTAGCATCTGAGCCTTTTTGAGAATTGCTTGGATTGTTATGTATTAAAGGTCTTGTAGAAACTATTTTGGGGTTTTGATCTGTTTGGTTTTAAACTTTGTTGTACATAAATGGAAGTTAATTTTTTTTTGAAGTATATAATATTTATATACGACACATGCAACAAATAAACTCACATACTCTCCTCACCTATGGTGAGGTTTGAACCTCTGACCTCCTAAGAAGTTACAACTGTAAAATGAAAGGAAATTGCAAATGGAACAGAGATGGGAGATCTAGAATCTGTATGCCAACCTACACAGAGGTCCCTGGGGTGAACTCCCTTCTCCAAGCCTTGCTAGAGCCTCAATCGAATTATTCCTTTTTCTACACTCCGACTCCCTGCACACTCCTTATTTTATAAAAAAGCTAATTCTGTTTATGGGCCATGGGCCGTCTAACATAAACTTTCCAAGTAGTGGGATGATTAAGACTAGCTGGGATTAGCTTAGTTGATGTTGTATCATATCATAATATGCATGTGCATGTGACCTGATTATTGGAAGCACATAAGATAGAAGTGGCCCTATGCCAGTTTGTGAGTAAGGTAAATCTTTTTGTTAAAATTTTAGGATTACCCAAAAACTCCTAGTGTGCTAAAGAAGGTAAAACATCCAATGATTTTGAGTCCATGACAGTGTCCTGATTCTTGTTAGGTTGGTTTCTTCATTTTTCCTGGATGGCAATTAGTTTTTCATTTGTTTCATTGCTTACAAACCATGTTAACATATCTTAGCAAACTACATGAATGAAAATGAGAAAGCGAAGCATGAATCATTTTATTAAATACAAGAAACTTACTCCTGTGGAGTAGTCTTTCGCTGCAAGAAGATCAATTGTTTCGTCATTGTAGAGTTCCAAAAAAGTAACTTTCATGCCATAATCAACATTTTCAGCCTCTAGTTTATCAAAAAAATTCAGTCTCATTGTAGAGTTCCATATGGTACATTTACAGCCCTAACCATATGTAAACATTGTGCAATTGAAGCCCTCAAGAACTTCATTCACAATAGGAAAAATCAATACTCCATCTAAATCAACTGGAGAATGAGATAAAAACACATCTAGAAAAAGATATGATAACAAATTCCAAAACAAAGCCAATATTACCCTCTCAAAGTCATGCTGGGGGGGGGTGCAGAAAGTGGTTGTGATTAATAGCTTAAAGTGGGCTTCAACTTAGGCATGTTTATGTGGTTTAAATCAAAATAGGCATGTTATGTTCAAAAGGATTACAGCAGGAACAAGCATTGACTTGATGTATTGTATCTTTTAATGAACCTCAAAATGATATTATGGTGCACAAAATAGTTGAAACAAAACAACAGGACAAAAGTGAAGGGTTATATGCACATTATTCGAAACATAAATGAAATGGACAAAAGTGAAGGGTTATATGTTATTCATATGCACATTTTGATTTCCAAACAGGTAATTTGGGCCGTGACTGCTAAGATCAAGCTTATAACAAGCCATACATGGCCTAAAAATCTTATAAACAACAGTGGATGGAAGTAATAACCTTGTAGCAGCAAGGGCGTGCCCAAGTTCATGTATCGACATAGATGTGATAGAATGCATCAAATGATTTATAACAAGATTAACATCAATTGCATGCTCTAAACCAAACCAAACCCAATATTACCCACTCAAAGTCAGGGG